AAGAATAGAAGTCTCTGTAAAGTGTTAGAATATGTTACATACATGTAGTTTCATTGTTATTTAAATGCTTACTTCCACTTTGTAATTTGAAGAGTTGTGATACTGGTACGAAATTGGTCTAATGCCACATGGTAATTAAATACTGGGTCAGGAGCTTCAAATATAGCAAAAACAATGCTGTTTCATACAGAATTAGATTTTTCTGTATTTATTATCTCATAAGATAATTTGACAGATGACCCACCCTTGTCCCTGCCTTGCTTCATCCAAATTTCATTTGGAGGAATTAAACCATTGTGCCAGGATAGTTGATTGTGGCTATATAATATATACGTGTAAAATTACAAATTGTAATTATAAACAGTAACTTTACCTGGCCTTCTCTTCTAATAAGCAAAAGATGGCTGATTTCAAATTAGTAATGTATGCCAGTGGTGCAGGCTTAATTTCCTGTTTCACTTTTCGTGGAGAAACTAAACGGAACAGCCGCAGCTTTTACTTGTAGCTCTTCCAAATCTGCTTTCATTGTCTCCCTTAGCTTTTTTTCACTGGCAACATCAATATTCCATGATTTAAACCATCTAAAGATTAATACATTATGATTGTAATTACATGTAAATTTCTTACCTTTTCACAATTCTTAGTTTTCACCAAGGCAGAGAAAAGTCTGCCTTCCTTGCAAGATTTTGTTCGGGTGGAATATATAGAGTAAACTTTAACTCCTTTATTAATACTTCCCTAGGTAACATCTTCACCTCATCAATCATTTGTTGCTGTTCATGATTGATGCTCAATCTGTTGCGCATGGTAGCTAACTCGTGGCTTCTTCTCTTAATATCATAACTTGCTTCTCCAGTTGATCTGGTTGAATTTGTCACTTTCACTAGGCTGATGGGCTAAAGGATTTATTTTAAAATATGGTAATACATGTACAAATGATTATGCATGTACATGTATCATACTCTTCCTCCAGTTGATACTGTTAGACATCCTGAGTTACCCTGTGCCAGCATTCCAGTAACCACCATAACTGCTGCTTTCTTTATGCTGTCATTTGCTTTCTGTTGCGGCTGGGTCATAATGTCTTCCAGTGTCAATTGCTGGCTCTCTCAATGGCTATCACAATCTTCACTCTTCATTTCCAACTTCACTGGTATAATACATTTCTCACACATAACAGATAATTCATTGAACATTTTTTTAGAAAGTGCTGACAGCTCTGTGAACGTGTTGTCAGTTGACTGATGCTCATAAGAACAGCCAGAACAGACAAAATGTGACGATTTGGAGAGAGCAAGACAACACTGAGTACAAAGCACTGATTTTCATGGAAAAATGTCCAGTGGTTTGTTTGCAGCACAGCTACATATCTTACAAGTATTATCAGCCTTGTGCTGCTCATCTACTAGCTGAGCAAGAGAAAACTGAGGAATCTGATATTCTACTGTTTGAATGTGCTGACAGATGAGAGTTGGCCGCCCACAGGAATACTTCTGCTTTGGTTGTCCACCTTTGCTCAAAACATCACAGACTTCACATGATTCCTCACTATGTGGTGACCACTTTACAGGAATATTCTTCTGTTGAAAACGCTCAGCATCCCGTGAGATCTTTTTTGCTGTCAGGTAGCAGCTGTTGCAGAAGTGTTCGGGATGCACCACTGTGGTGTCATTTGTCAAATCAAAACTCAAGTATTGCTCAAGTAATGATACATATTTGATGCACTTGTATTTGGTCTTCCCCAATGCTTTAGAGCACACTCTGCAGTGATTATTGAGGTAGTTTTGGTGAAGTTGTGAAGACATAGCTATGAAAAATTTATGATTTTTATTCAGCCAAATCTATTTTACAAAATATAAGTTCAATTCCTTAATATAAACTAATGATTACATATATTAAGCTATTACTATTTACCTTCCTTGTACTAGTGGCAAAGGAATAGACCTCATTACTACTACATAAAAAACCAGCCCAGGAACTGCCACCACCGGGACGAGAAGGCCTTGCTGACAACCAATTATCAGCCAGTGACAGCCACCCTCATCAAGTAGAAGTGGTTACAGCAAAAGACCCCCACTTGGTCCTCAATCAGATCCGAGTACTAATAGCAGTTGCAACATTTAACGATCCACTGGAAGTAGTAACTACAAAAAATAAATTATTCTCAGTTGTTAAGCATATACAATAACAGAGTTGAATGGATATGGGGATGGTGAGAAGCTTCCTGTAGTTGTGTACATCTTCCCAACTGTACCAAGTAATGCTGATCAAAATATGGCAGTACTGTGATGGTAATATGCCAGCACAAGTACATGCTCGTATGAGCCTAAAAAATATTAATGACAATAAATGTATAATTACTTTCCATTCACATTATACTTACTTCTGTATCTACTACATTATAAACTTGAGTTACGATTACAGGACTCAACTATCATTGAACTGAAATTCAGCACAAATCACATGACTTACACTATAATAATAATAGTAATAATATAAATCAATATAATTTTGATGATTATAATATTATAATAATAATAATAATAGTAATAATAAATAATACCTGACTGTAATTGATCACCCTTCGGTCATCCATACGACACTATCACCAACATGTGCGTTCCAATGCTTATCCTATATCTATGCACAAAATTGCTGCTCTTCGTTCCCCATCACAAATACCTTATTTTATATCAACACTAATTTCGAACACATTATAACTACCTTAAGTATTGAGTATAACTAGTATCATGTGATAAAGCCTCTAAATGACCCTCTTTCCAGACTAAATCAGCAAGTGAGACAGCATTTCCAGCGCATTCTTTTAGTGTCTAAAAACCCCTTAACTCGATCAAGCCTAACTAGAACTGGTCCTTGTCTTCTTTGAGAGTAAAATGTAACTCAATTTGATACCAAAACCCCTCTCTGCCTGCGTTTTTCCTTGAAGAAGCAACATCATCTAGAGCAGACAGTTTTACATGTGAAAAAAACGGAAGCCAACATGCCCAGGGCACCGCCTTTTATACCGCACCTTCTCGTTTAATGTATTTTACAGTTACAAATGATTCAATGATTCAGCAACAAGGTGTAATGTAACCCTTTCATATCATAGTGAATGTATAAGACTATTGTCTGACTTTGTTTGTGGTAAGTAAAATAATTTCTTATAAATGATCATCATTGAAACATTATATTTTGTTGTAGCTCTTTGATCAGCGGTGATTTCACAATGGATGAGGTTGCAGTTTCCAGCTGCACTGCAGGTTTCATTTTGTCATAGTCTTAGCAATCGAATACATACTAAGATAGAATATTGTGAGACGCCATACTTCTTTATTATTGTTATAGATTATGATCTAAAGCTATAATTTTTTAAATGATTTATATTGATTCTCTGATTTACTACGACCATTGTATGTATTTTCTTTACTCGTTGATATAATGAAGTAATATATGTCACATGTACTTGTATTGTAGGAAGATTGAGGCTGAAGTATTAAATTGTTTTGCGTTGTTGAACGAACACTAATGTTAAGCATTGATTATAATCTCTGTCTTGGCTTTACTTTTAAAGATATTTAACTTTTCTTATAAGTTTTTAATATAAGAAAAGTGACTTTATACATGTACACAATAATCTAATAAAACTTACCGTTCTTTGTTGAGTTATTGCTGTTTCTCCTGCACCTGCCCCTTCCTCTTGGCCTGGCTCTCAAATAAAATGGCCTAGAAAGGTGATTAATTGGTATCTATATAAACTGCAGATCATAACTAAAATAATCTTACAATTTCTGAATTGATTTGGCGTAACTGCCATATGATGAGCTGCTCTGCCTTTGCAGAGAAGCAACATCAAGAGGGCCTCCAGCTCCAGCTGGATGGAGTGCTAGAGCAGCAGGGGGAAGTGGCAGAGGACTTCAGCCACTCGTGGCGGACCTTCAGCTATCAGTGAAGGACCTCCAGCTACTGATAAAGGACCACAAGCCACTGTTGGCAGACCTCCAGCCAGAGGTGGAGGACCTCCATACACTGATGGAGGACCACCAGCAACTGGTGGAGGACCTCCAGCCACTGGTGGAAGACCACCAGCAACTGGTGGAGGACCTGCAGCTACTGGAGGTGGTGGAGTAATTGGTGGGGGTAGTGGAGGACCAGCATCATCTGGTGGTGGTGGTGGTGGGCCTCCAGGAGGTGGTGCTGGAGGCCTTACAGCTAATGGTGGTGGTGGAGGAGGAGGAACTCCATGATGTTCATAATCCATGAACTGTGAGAAAACATGATGATAGCTAATGTAAGTTTGTAACTGAAGTGACTTGCTGCATTCACAGAAAAAGGTTGCAAAGCAAAATGGCGGAAAAGTTTGAGAGCTGTGAGCTGAAAAATGGCAACTAAAGCTGAATGTATTCTATGTAAACTGAAATAGTATCAGAACAGGTCATACATCTCAGTAATGACGATAATGATTAATAATTATGAGCAAGGCTCTGAAT